GTCTTTGTATGTGTGTTTGTGTGTGCATGTGTGTGTCTGCCCATGGGTGTTCGTTGAGTGTGGGGTGGCGTGGCACATTCAGTGGGGTTGGCTGGTGGGCTTGCCCAGCCTCCCTGCAGATGTGGCAGCAGAGCAGGGGGCTGTGGGCAGTAGCCTGGGGCCTGGCGACCAGCTGTGGGTGAGGAGCATGGAGGGAGGTGCGGACTACGGCCAGGCTTCTGGCCCAGAAAACAAAGTGGCTTTTGATGTCACAGAGACAGCATCACTGGGCAGGGGGCAGGTTAGGGAGCGAAGGTCAACCAAAGCTGGGCCAAGCTGAGTTTGAGGCATCTGAGGCACATCCGTGCAGATGTCTATCTCAATATTTGGGGAGTCTGGGCATTGGGGATGGAGCCCTGGGGATGCCTGCATCTAACAGGCAGGGGATGGGGCTGGTCCAGGCCGGAGTGGGGGGCAGGGGAGAAAGTGAGTAAGCAGGGAGAGGAGACACAGGGTAGGGGCCACTGCATCAGTGCTGCCCAGAGGGACAGCCCTGGCCCCGAGCTGGGGAGAAGGCAGTCTAGGCGGGTGGTGGGGGATGAGGCGGCCGGCCATTGGCAGGGACAGCCGCTCTGGGGCCCTGACCCCAGCCACCCCCGCCATCCCTGGCTTTCATTCCTTTCCTGCCATCCAGGAAGGGGAGGGCTGAGGAAGCAAGCGGCCCGGCTGGGCCGCCTGAATGAAAGCCCCAGGGGCCTTGGCACACATTGGACCCTCTCCTTTGAATCCCAGGCTGTTCTGGGGCTTAATTAACGAAGAGCTCAGGGGCACCCCTCTCCCTATTCAGAAAGGACTCCATGGAAACTTCTCACAGGTTCCTTCAGCAGGCTCTGGCTAACGGGGTCGCCCCTCCGGGCTGTACCGGGCCGACTGGGTTCCCAGCATGTTAATGGACAGCGCTGGCCCAAGGCCAGCAGCCGGCACCCCAACCAGCAACATGGACCTGTTCCTCCTCCTCATTCAATGTCTTCAGCTCAGCAGCAGTGCTGAAAGGAACCAGGGATCGGATTCTGACATTTTCCCCCATATTCCCTGGTGACTTTTAAAGAATCTAATATTTAAATTCATCTTGGCAAGGGCCTGGGGGTGACTTGCAGTAAGAGTCTGTAAGGACTCCTTGTGGGCCAGGCTGGGCGCTGCTTTCAGACTGACAACTCCCGAGAGCCGAAAGCCAGCGGCAGGAACGGGGAGGAGGGCGTGCGTGCATGCGTGCATAGGTGTATTTGTGTGCGGACCCACATATCCATGTGTTTGTCTACACCTGCTGGCCGGGGCCCTGAGGCTGGACCTCACTCCACTCTCTTGCCAGCTCCAGCTGAGACCCCCACCCCTGGAGGCAGCCTCTGTGCGGGTGGACCCCAGGCTCTGGGGAGAACGCGCAGGGGAGGGCCCGTGACTGGGGAAGGGGTCTGCCACGCCCTGCTCCCTGCTATATAGACTCCTTGAGGCCCAGGCCGCTCCTCGACAAAGCGTGAAGCCTTCCAAAAGAGCCATTTGCCCATGAGACCCACGGTGATGGGGCGTGGGGTTGGCTCGGGCAAATGCCAGAGGCAGCCAGCAAGTCCCTGGAGGGGCTTCCAGCAGATTCCAGGGGGCCCTAAGGGCCCGGCAAGCAGCCGCGTGCAAGCAAAGCCGTGCGCAGCAAAATCCTGGGAAGCGGACTCCCCAGAGATCAGCTCTCTTCTGTCACTGGATGTTGCATTCCTGTCGATGATGATTCCTTCCTGCTCCTGAAGCAAAAGTTGAGTGGAATTCGGGGAGATGCAGTGGGCCGGCAGGGAAGAAGGACGGCGCGAGGCGTGAGAGGGAGCAGCGGCGGGCTGGAGGCAGAACCCCTTTCTTCCAGCGGGCCCTCGATGCCTGAGCTGGAGCTGCCACCCAAGCAAAGGGCCAGAGGCCCAGGAAAGGCACATCTCTAAACCACACTGGCCGACGGGTTTGCGCGGCGTGGGCGACAGCATCACTCCCCTGGGGGCCATTAGAAGTGGTAGGATTTATGGGGCGAACCAGACAAGTACCCGTAAAACCACCATGATTGACAAAGGCCAGTCATGAGTAGCACAGTCTGAAACTGTATCCCATCCCAAGACTCACGTACACATGATGCATAAGTTTGGAATAATTCTAAATAAAAATGCGGAAGACCAGGGATCCAGCCCTTCCTCTCCTGAGCCACCTGATGGTGCCTGGTTCCCACCTGGTTTTTGTTTTTTTTTAAAGATTTTATTTATTTATTTGAGAGAGAGAATGAGATAGAGAGCATGAGAGGGGGGAGGGTCAGAGGGAGAAGCAGACTCCCTGCCGAGCAGGGAGCCCGATGCGGGACTCGATCCCGGGACTCCAGGATCATGACCTGAGCCGAAGGCAGTCGCTTAACCAACTGAGCCACCCAGGCGCCCCCCCCACGTGGTTTTTAAGGACACTGACCCGGCCGGGATCCCTGCTAGTGAGCTGCTGGGAGCTCGGTGAGGTGGGGGCCTGGAGGGGCAGCCCGCTGGACCCCCAGTCCTCAGAGACATCCCTGAGCCCTGTGACAGCAAACCCTGCTCCAAAACCACAGCAGGAGCTTGGAATGAGCTCAGGTGGCTTCTACGGAATTTAAATTGTGTTCAGATCCTGAAGGGTAGTGGGCTTTCTGCAGAGGGCATTTATTTCTTGGAGTCACAGCAAAGCCCCGCTGTGTTCACCCTGGTAGACGAGCTAGGTTGGCTTCATGCAGCTGGTCTTCTTGCCGGGACGGAGGTTTCTGGTTGGAAGGGCCAAGAGCGTTCATGAGGAAGACAAAACGGACGCTCGGGGACAGCACGGCCAGCACACGTAGTCAGGGCCGGGCGTCCATTTCACAGAGTCCCTCCTTCGCTCACAGAGGAACGAGCAAACAAAACCCCAGAAGCCCCACGGAGCTGCCCCGTAACGATCTGCCCGGCCCTGGAGGCCTGCGGGGCTCTGCCCCTCCTTCCCGGGCGGGGTGCCTCCCAGCCCGCATCCCTCTCCTGGGTCGCTCTCTGCAGAGAGAGCCGCGGCAGCACACCCTGAGAACCTCCTGCCACCTGGCTCGCCCCACGGCACGCGCCTCACGTCTGCCCATGGTTTGGCTAGCTGGTCCTGCCCCGTGGTCTTGCCACCGGCACCTCCCCCCCCGCCCTTTCTCCTCAGCCCACGCCTGCTGGGTGGGTATGAACCGAGGGCTGCAGAGGCCACGGCACGGCCTGGACTCCCGTCATTGCCTGGCACCTTCAGAACGGTCCGTCCCTGGCTCCTGGGCCAGGGTCTCCCCCATGACCTGGGCGACAGGAACAGCATCTCGATGGCCAGGCCAGGTCAGTGCACGCAACCCGGGGAGTGCCTCCGGGGCCCCCGGACAGCCCTGCTTCGGGAGGGTGGGTGGCCGCGGCCTGGAGCCACCCCTCCCCGTGGCCAGGGTTCTGGCATGCGCTCTGCCCCACAGAGACCGGCCGTGGCCACGCCAGGTCAGCTGGGTCAGGGCACTCGGAGGGTACTTGGGACGGAGAGGCGGCAGCTTCCCAGAGCCCAGCTACCTACGCAGCCCGATCGCAATCGGTTCTGCACCATGGGTCCCAGCAGGTGCCGCGACAGCCCGGGCAGAGTGAGCCACGCGGGCCCCTGCACCTCCCCCCAGAAGGGCAGTGACCTGTGTCTCTGGGGTGCTCAGTGCCTTCCTGCTGGATCCCCTTGCCCTCCGTCTTCCCGGGCCCCCGCGGGGACTGGCCCCGGGGCGAGCAGGCACAGCAGGCAGGGGTCCTCGGGGCCGCGCTCCGGCCCTGGCCTGTTCTGCCACCGTGGAGCCCCAGCCCCACGCCCGGGCCCCACCAGCATGCCAGTGCCGGGGGTTCTCCACGGGAACTGCAGGGTCACAGAGCCGCAGGGCAGGCCGTCCCTCAGAGGGTGTGCACGATGGACGTCGGCTCGGGTCACGGCCTGGAGGTGCATCGGTGACCAAGCAGCTTTGAGACTGTTTGCTTTTAACAGATCAACAACGCTGCACCAAAGGTGCACAGACAAGTGTAGATATTTACAATTCTCGGGGAGTTTCCTTGGAAAAACCCAAGTGCACGGACTGACCTTGCCTTCTCAGCCCTGCCCGATGCCAGGCCGCTCTGGTCACGGTGCTCAGCCCCCCCCTGCCCCTCCCCCGAGCGGGCCTTGTTCTCCAGGCCTGAGGCAGGGATGTCCCTACGACCTGAGCCCCCGAGGCCACCCGCTCCTCAGAGCGAAGAGTGGGCAGGAATGCCCATAGTTTGCGTGAGGGGCAGGAGGAGATGTGTCCCGGGAGCACGCAGGCTGCGGACCCCGCCTTCATCACCCCCTGGCGCTCGCCCGCCCCTACAGACCCTGAGCTCCGAGCCCGGCACACAGCGAAGGGTGGTCCGGTCCCTGGGGAGCAGACCCCACAGACGACACAAGCCAGGGCCAGCAACGATTTCAGGCAAGTTACCAATCAGTCCAATGGGAGAAAAAGAAAAGAGAATTGATGGGGCAGCCCACAGACCAAACGAAGAAGAAAAGCTAAACAAGCAAGCGTCCCAGCTGAGTTTTTCTTGACCAGCTATGTGAACAGAACCAAGTTGGGGGGGGGTCCCGGTGACTCCAGGGGGCCAGGCCGGGCTGCAGAGACCCTCACCCACCCGGGCTGCGGGGGGAGTGGCGATGCAGAGTGCCCCCTGCCACACGCCTAGCTGATGCTGGAACCAGAAGCTTCCTGACCACTGAGAGGACAGCCTGAGTTTCCCCAAGGAGGATGTCATGCTCCCCAAGGTGCGACCTCAGAAGGGCTCCAGTGGGCACAGCAAGAGCGAGCTAATGTCAGACACGCGGCCTGGGGGACATGGGCTCTAGAGGCCCTTGAAATGCCATCCAAGGCCGGAGGCTCTCCATGTTACCATCAGCAAGGGCTAATCTCGCAAACAAAGGGCGAGACTCAGCTCCAGAGTGGAGCTCTGTGTGGCAGAGGCCGGGCCGCGGAGCTGGGGCGCGAATGCAGCAAGGGCCTGTGGGCTCCCTGCTGCCCCTTCCTCGGGGCCTGGGGACAGCCTGCCCCCCTGCAGATCTCAAAAGCAAACCTGATGCTGCTTCTTAATCACAGTTTGGTATTTTTTTAAGGCTTAATCTGCCCAGTGACAAAATCCCATCAGACTGCTTCCTGGGCACGGCAGCTCTGGGGGACAGTGCCCCAGAGAGGTGGGGACGATGACAGATGAAGGTCTGTGTGGAGAGGTGCAGGAAGGAGCAGCCCGAGGAGCCCGAGCCCACCTTGGGGCCCTGACATCTTCATGTCCCGTCATGGGGGTGGGGAGAGCCTGCCCCACACAAGCCTGTCATGTCCTCTCTTCCGGAAGGCACGGCCCCGGCGCATCCAGCTTGACCTACTTACTGGGTGGAGGTCGGAGCATACGGTGCCGGACAAGATGTTGGTGGGGAGAACGAGGTGCTGTCGGGCGGCTCCAGACAGAGCAGCTCTTCCCGGCTCAAGGCTAATGGTGGCCAGGAAGCCACTACCCAGGGCATGTGTTTGCAGGGCTCGCGGCTGCCCCCATCCCGGGCACACGCGTCTGTCCGGCTGACCCTGAAAACCAGCGCAGAGATGAAGCAACAGCTTCAGGATTCCTACACGAACAACCAGACAAGCGGCAAAACCAAACCAAAGAGAAAAGCTGACGAGAGCGCTGAGCTATGGAGTAGGCAGTTCTTTCCTAACGAGATAAACTACTTTGCGATTCTGGTCACCATGTCCTCCAGAGCGTGCCTGAGCTCCCCAGCAAAGCCAGCACTGCGGGAGGGCCCAGGGCCTACGGCGGGGACGAGGCCTTCCTTGAGGGCCGTGCCGGAGCAACGACAATCTCATCCGAGTCGTCGGAGCTGTCGTCATCCGTAGGCGGAGGCTCTGCGGGCTGTGGCTGAGGTCGCGGTCCCGAGGGAGAGCACAGCCCTGCAAGGAAGCAGAGGGGGACATCACCCCAGCAGCTCAGGACGGGGCAGGTCTTCAGAATCCCTGTCAGAGCGGCCACAAAGCCGCCTCAGCCTCCCAGCTCAGCTCTGAGCATGGCCAGTCCCAAAGGCCAACACCTGCAAGCTCGAGCGCGGGCCAGGTCTCTCAGGGCCGCCCGCACGGGGAAGAGCCGCCTTCCTCGCGACTCAGGCCCCCGGGGAGGGGACCAGGCCGTGCCCCTGAGCACTGTGAGCTTTCCAACGGACCCTCCCCTGCTTTCTTCATGCACAGCCAACTTCCCAAATTCTCGCCGGACGGGGCGCCACCTGCTGACCACCTGCGCCCTGAGTGCCGCCTTGGCGAGGGCGGAAGGCAGGGGGGCGCCTAGCCCCAGGAAGGGCCACACTCTGATGACCGCTTGGGGACACGGCAGTCACAGGGCGGCCAGCCGCTCACTGAGGTAAGGAGGCGGAAAACCGTATAGCAGCCCACAGGCCGGGGACTGGTCAGCTGTCCTCTGGGACTTCCAAGGAAACAATTAAAGCAGAGCCTCAGGACACTAAAACACCCGTTTTCAAGCTTATCTTGTTTTTTCTTTGCAAACACTGTCACAGTCGGACCCCAAAAGGGCTGGATTCCCACTTTTCCCGCAGGCTGCCCTATGGGCAACCGAGAGCAGTGTGCGTGCACGCGGCCCTACGGCAAGGCCTCTCGGCAGGGGGGCGCGGCTGCCCCTCAAACATGACACGTGCTCAGCAGGAGGAGGGGGCGGCTTACGTGGACGACAGTCACCAAAGGCGGGGTCGGGCGAAATCAGCATGAAGCTGGCTTCTGGAGGATGTGATCTCTGGGCAGCCCCGCGGTTCTAGATGACAGCCCCTCAGGCTCTGTGGGCTCTGCTCACCTGCACGTCCTCCCCGCACATCTGCACGTCTTCCCCGCCCACCTGTGCGTCTTCCCTGCTCATCTGCGTGTCCTCCCCGCACATCTGCACGTCTTCCCCGCTCATCTGTGTGTCCTCCCCGCACATCTGCACGTCTTCCCCGCTCATCTGTGTGTCCTCCCCGCACATCTGCACGTCTTCCCCGCCCACCTGCACGTCCTCCCTGCACACCTGCGTGTCCTCCCTGCTCACCTGCACATCCTCCTTGCCCGCCCCACCCCGCCCCTGTGCTGTTCATGTTTGCTCCTTGAACTTTGTACATGGAGTTTATGGAGCAAATACCAAAGTTCACAGTTTGCAAGTTCCAACAGGCTGGAAAGTGAGTGGTGATCTCCGGGTCAGACATGGCGTCGAACCCTGAGCTGGTGCAAGACATCCTCCAGGACCCGGCCCCAGAAGGGATGGGGCGGCCAGGCCCCCCGCGCCCAGCCACGGCGCCCCCCACTCACCAGAGCAGGGCTGCAAGGCTGCTGGCTTCTCCGGCCCCCACAGCCCTGGCGCCTCGTCCTTGGCCGCCGACCCCTCCACGGTCTCCCCGCTGCTCATGTCGCTGTCCTCCTGACCTGAAACAACACGCACACTCCAGGCGCCTGCCCTGCACAGAGCCGGCAGCAGACATGGACAGGGCTAGTCACCTCCACCTGGCTCTCTACCCCAAAGGGCTCTGGCTCAGAAAACTGCTTCCTTTTGTAGTTTGTCCCAAAATGAGGCACTGCTCCCCACGGCACCTGCCCTTCTCCATCTGTGCGACCGAAGAGCTCGGGATGGGAAAAGTCCTTCCCACGAGTGCTGCGTGGTGACCGCGTGCCTCCCTCACAAATGAGGCCTCAAGACGTGTTTCTGGGTCCAACGACAGCACCACCTCCCTGCTCCTCTCCAGCAGAGTTACTGATGGTGTGAGCGCGCACCACACAGGGAGGTGCCCAACCCGTGTGAGGGGCCGTCGGACTCGCGGGGGGCTCCACCTCGCTCGCGAGGACCCCACGTCAGCCAGTGGGCGGAGCAGGGACCGGGCCTCGCAGCTGAGGCGCAGCGCCCCTGCTGGGCCCAGAGATCTCTGCACTGTTTTTGGACCGTGATGAGGTAGAAAAGCAAATACAAGCAAAAGTTTACTTAAAACCAACAAACAGGAAAAGCACTGGCCCAAGGCGGGGAAACCACGCAACTCCAGCAGAGCCAAGAATAAAAATCAGAGACACACAAGCCACGAGCTCCAACCGTGTGGCCTGCAGGTGCCTGGACGCCGCTGTGACTGGCACTGGAGCTTCTCCACAGCCCAGGGATGAGGGACGAAGCCGTAGGCGGGAGGCTTGGTGGAGGCATGCAGGGCATCGCACCGGGACGGACCCCCACACGTGCCCGCACACCCCAAGCTTCCAGGGCAGCAGCCGCTCTTTGCTCGGGGCTCAGAGGGCCCCAGAGGCCCCTCGCATGGAAATTCAAAATGAAATGAAAGTACCAGGAGAAGCAGGGCAGGGTACTGCAGGCGACGGGCGGGGGGTGGCCAGAGTGGGTCTCCTCCTCCTAGAAGCTGCAGTGGCCGTTCTCTGACCAGAGGCGCTGGAAAAGAGAGAGAGACCGGCCGCTTGGACTTTATAGGACGCCCCCATCGCCCGAGGCCCCGGCGGGGTTCACGGATGTGCTGGAGAACACAAGGGGCACACGCCGAGGTCAGGCCTCAGACACCTTCCTCTCTGGCAGAGAGGGAGCAGAGACTGAAAAGTGACGGGTGGACTGGGAAACAGAGGGGAAGCCTGAGCCTCCTGCCCTCGCACCTCGACAGACACTCCCTTCACCTCACTGCAGGCTGCAGATCCCACTCTGCCCGAGTCGACCTGGATGGAGTCTGAGTTTCTGCGGCCCCAGCAGGTGAGAACGAGTGTGAGCTGCTGTGCCAAGGACCTGACAACGCCCACATCCCCCGGAACACTGGGGTCGCATCACATTTTTTTTAAAGGGCGATGCGTTAGGACAGGTGAGCCAGCCTACAGACTGGTGGGGAGCAGGACCATGCGGTGCTTAAGCCCTTCTGCGGGTTTTCCCCCAGCATGAGCGAGCCGTTCCAGGCAGGAAGGCCCCTCCTGAGGGCCAGCACTGGCGGGCTACCCCACCTGCGCACGTGGGAGGAGCTCTGCACGGGCATTTGTGCTCGGGCGACTCGCCAAGGTCCTGGCTCCCACGGCCTGCGCCTGCGTACTACGGGCTGGCCTTGTCGTCCGGCAGCGTCTCCCGGCGACACAGAGCGGGGGAGCCTGCCAGCTGGACTTACCTGTGCCTGAGCCATGCCAGGTGCGCCCGGAGGACAGACTGGACGGTGGTGATGGCCTCCTCCTGCCCTGGGTCGTCCTCAGCCTGGACGGCGGGGCTCGGGACGCGTCCCGGCGGGGGGTCCTGCAGTGACACGACAGTGGGGAAGAGAGCCATTTGGGAGCCTCTGCCCACTTCCCGGGTGTGGCAGGGCCCCCGCCTGGCCCCCAGAGAGCCCGGTGAGCGTGGCCCCGTTCCGGGTGGCTCACCTGGTCACTGACTATGTGCTCAGCAGCCTCCTGACACTCAGACTAGAGATTCTTAAAATGAACGTCTTGTCATTTTCGCAGAGGAGGGATGGATATAGAAAACGCTAATCTTTACTGGGTATTTAAGCTTCTGTCTTAATTGTGAGGCGGGCATGCTGCCTAATACGTGAGCACCTCAAAGCAACACGGCCCCTGAAGTTAAATCCATCTGGCGCGTGCACCACAGGCTCGCCTCCTGGCCCCGCCTGGCTCCCCACGGACAGCAAGGTGCCAGGCAGGACACAGGCACCGAGATGCCGCGCTGCCCCGGTCGAGGAGGCACGAGACGGGACACGTAGAGAGAGCGGTTAGCGCCCCTGCCGCGTCTGGCCCCCCAGGGTTACCTGGCCGGGCGGGCTGGGCGGGCCGGGGGTTTCTGAAGCACACGCCTGGCTTGATAGTAGCTTCACCCGCGCTAGGTGTCCCCTGAAAGCTGCCTGGAGTGCCGTGGCCGCCTGGCAGGGACGAGGAGAGAGAAGGGAGGTGAATTCCCCTGGAAGGCGGCAGGTGCAGGGGAGGGGGCTCCGGAGGGCAAAGCTCGACCAGCAGGGAAAACGACGTCTCTTGCTCGTGCAGAGCCACGGCCTCTGTCACCCGCCCAGCGCCTCCCACAGGAAGAGGCATGCCCATCGTCCACACAGACGGAGGCACGGGCGTCCCCTCCCATGGCAAACCAAATCCTCTGTTAAACGCTATGATGTTTACACGCAATTACGTTTCCACGTTGGGCAGTCCATCCCATGCCTCATGCTTTCCATACACATCTTCCAAAACCAAGCAGGGCAGACATGGTCTCAAACTGTCGCCAAGAAATGATCTATCCTCTGACCTTAATTTCAAGTGATTTCTTCACACACACGGATGCTTTGTTAAGTTCTGAGATCAGTGTTCTGGCTTTCGGGGGCAGCCTGGCTGGAAACATCACGGTGTGACAAAGGGGTTGAGCTCTTAGGGAGCTCTTAGTTGAGCATCTTAGGGAGCGCCACACGAGCACACTGGGGCCTGACACGTCATGTGTCCAGAGGTCTAGACACTTCCAGAATCAGGTCACTAAGAGAAACACCTCTGCTTTGCTGTTCCTGGGGGCAAGGTGAAGGAGATGTCCTGAACTCGGGGTTCAGAAACAGGCCCAACAAAGCGTGGCAAGAGAACCCTCATTCAGGCAAATTCGAACAAGCAGGTGCATGTGTAGACCGACCCAGGGGGCTCGCTGCTCGCAGACGACCCGGGTGAGGGCTCGTTGCGGGCGACATGGGCTGGGGTGACGGCTGCTGACCTCATAGCCACCAGAGCCCGGCAGAAACCCAGCCCAGCCCTGCCCCACACGGGGGTCTAGTCGTCGCCTTGCCTGGGGAGGTGAGGACGCGCAGGCCCGGGGGGGGACCCGGGAGACCAGCAGCAGAACATGACAGTGCATGCCGGCTGGCCGGCTAGGAAACACGCTAGATGGGCTTTCGAGGAGTCCCAAATTCACCCATTCACCCACTCATTCCACAGATATTTGCTGAATGCCGACCACGTGGCAAGCACCATCCTAGGAACTGTGGATATAGTGGTCTAAGAACAGAGGTGGTCCCTGTCTCCGTGGAACTTTAAAAAAATTGCAATAGGACACAAGCAATTTAAAACAAGTAAAATATCAAAATGTCAAGTAGGGATATAAGCTACGAAGAGAGATAAAGCAGGACCCAGGGCTGGAGTGATGGCTGGCACGGGGTAGTCAGAGAGAGCGTCTCTGAGGAGGTAACGTTTCCTGCGTGAAGCAAGGGGGCAGGACATGCAGGGGTCCGGAGGAAGAGCCTCCCAGGCAGAGGGAGCAGCGAGTGCAAGGGCCTGTGGCAGGAAGAAGCTTGGTATTTCCAAGCAGTGCCCAAGAAGCCTCCAGACTGGGTAGAGGAGAATGAGCAGGGCTGGGGGGTGGGGTAGCCAGGGAGTTTGGCATGGAAGGTCCTTAGACAACAGCTTTGGATCACGTTCCAAGTTTGGGAGCGAGCCATGTGCAGTGGTGGGTGTCACTTAACACTTAAAACATGCTGCCCTGGAGGCTGCCTGGGGAACAGGCTGAGGGAGGGCAACAGCAGCAAGGGGCCGTGTGGGCGTCCACGGCCGTCGGGGTGGCTGGAGACTCCCCTGGTTCCCAGCGCCCCTCACGACGCGTCCTGCGGCTCACACAGACCTGCTCTCCTCCCGGGTAAGCCGCGCTCCTGCGCGCGCCCCTCTTCTGCCCGCAGCCCTTCCTCTCACGTTCCCCAGGCCCTGGGCCAGGCCTTCCCAAGAGCCGTAACGCACGCCTGCCACCCTGACCTGCAGTGACCCGTCTCAACACCTTTCTGAGTCCCGAGGGCCTGCCAGGTTACCCGACCCGAACTGATGACCGAGAAAACTGTGTTGAAAAAACGATTGTGTAATTGAATGAATCTGAACGTGTGAAGTTATCCAAATATTCTTCTGACTCTGGTATCACCCCCGTCTGGTCTGATTTCAGGAAAACAAGTGCCCGAGACATCCCACCGGGACTTCGCTCTACTGCAAGAATATGTATTTGGAACAGGTGAAATAAACCTCACTTACCTCAGTCAGAACAGCCTTTTTTTTCTGAAATAAAGAGACAGGTTATGAATTAACATGAGGATGAATTTTTGGCAACACAGCGTTCATGTCCTGATCCTGCCCCTGCCACCATCAGCACAATGGAAAGCAGAGCCGGGGTACCAGGGCGCCCCCCTCCTCGGGAGCCCCAGGAGGCTCCCCGCGTCCCTGTCCTCCCCTGCCTGGCGGACCGTGCCGGGGGACCCAGCATCCATAACCAGATGCCAGCCTTCTCCGGGCGCATCACAGTTAAAGAAGAGCCCTGTCAGTGGCACCTGTGGCTCCCGCCCGTGGCAGCTCTCTGTGGGACGGACTCACGAGCACCACCGTGTGCGCTTGACTTCAGCCCCAGGTGAGGAAGGCCTGCCCCCAGCCAGAGCTGGGGACACGGCTGCCCTCTCCGACGGTCCCACAGCGGCTGGGCCCCGCCTGCCGGAGAAGCTACAAAGGGGACCCCCATTCACGGGTCTGGGTCACGGGCTCCCAAATCTGACCCATCGTCAGAAGCACCCGGGCACCGGAGGGAAAAAGATTCAGCCACACCCAAGGCTGAACCAAAATGTGTATCCTTACAGACGTCAGTGAAGCCCGAGTCCTTCTAGCGTGGAAACCCCAGGATGACGCACGTGCCATAGGGGCCAAGCCACGGTCCGCGAAACACACACCCACCCGCTCCTCTGCAACGTTCACCAGAGTGCATGGCCCACAGCTGTTACAGAAGAGGATGTGTCCCGTGACAGATTGAGGAAACAGGGAGCACGAGGACCAGGGGGACATAAAATGAATGAATGAACGAACGAATATTTAGTAATGGTAACAATCAAGACTGAAGATCATGCCGAGCAGCAGATGAGGAGAGTACCGGCGAGGATGTGGGGTGAGCTGCAGAATGAGGAAGTCAACAGCAAGCCTGGAAAGAGCAAAAGTGGAGGGGTGGAAACATGCCGTGACTTGAGGCAGATGGGAGAGACGGAACCGTAGTTGTTGCCTGCAGAAATGGACCCTGAGTGGGGGAGGCATGCTGGACCACAGCTGGCTGCAGGCCCTGTCGAGGGCAACCTGCAGCTCACCTCAAAGAGCGGCTGGGTGTGGGGTGCCACCACACCGGCCGGGAGGGCTCCAGGTGGGTCCAGGGCCTTCCTCCTCACGGCCTCAGACACCCCTGTACCCCAAGGCGAGTCCAACATGTACAGACCAAGAGGACCCCGGACTGAGGTCCCAGGACCCTGATTTCCAATTAAGTGGCCTTTCAAATGCTTTATTCTCAGATGGAGGTATGTGCATTTGATTTTTCTGAGTTCTTGTAACGCAGAATCCTGAAGAAAAGACTCAGCTCATGTGTCAAGAAGTCAGCTGTGCCCAGCTCCTGGAGGGGCGAGCAGTGGAACCCAGTGCGGGTGACTAGCCCTGCCCGGTTGGTGGGGAGCAGTGAGCTAGGGCGCTGCTCTTAGAGCACTTGACGTTCTGTCTTTTTAAAGTTAATTAGCTAATTAAATTAGAGAGACTTTAATTACTTAAGAGAGAGAGAGAGAGCGCAGAGCAAGGGGAAGGGCAGAGGGAGAGGGAGGGAGAGAACCTCAAGCAGACTCACCTCTGAGCAGGGAGCCCAGTGCGGGGCCCCATCCCACGACCCTGAGGTCATGACCTGAGCCAAAATCAAGAGCCACCCAGGCGCCCCGTGTTTTGTCTTTTTAATTAAGCAAGGGGCTGATGGGGAGAAGGGTGAAAGATGAAGGGAAAAGCAGCACAGACAAGTGGCTCAGAGACGGCGAGCTCCGCCCAGATCTGGGGCGAGGAGGACGGGGAGCTGCGGACACCTTCTTGTGCAGAAAATGAGGTTGCGCCAGCAAGATCAAAGGCACAGGAGCCCGACCCGAGCGCTGCCACTGACCAAATGTGGGACACGTTGAACATGAAAAGAAAAACGACTCATTAATCTTAAAAGCAGCAATGCTCCCTCCCCTCAGAGAGAGTTTGGGGAGAAACTCGCTGGCCTCCAATCCCCTGCTCTGAAATCAGGGTCTACTTAGTACTTGAAGGAAAACAGCGAAGCTTCTAGCCTGCCTTTTTGGAAGACCCTGGAGCTACGCCCCGCTGACCAGCCGATGAGGAAAACTGCTTCACAGAAGAGTACCAGCCGCTAAGTATCGGGAGGACCTGAAGTCACCCCACAGCCGTGTGAAAGATGGGTTGAGCTACCGTGCATGAAGGGTGTAGGGCCACCGGCGAAAGGTGGAGACCGGGGTTCACAGAGGCCACTCTCCCGACAGACTGACGGGATCATTATCAAGGGAAAGGTGTTTGCTTACAACAACAAAAGCAGGCAGCCGCGACTTTACCCAGTGCCTGCAGTTAGACACACGGACAGACCTACCTAGTCTCACCTGCGCCCGAAGGGAGACAACGAGCCCAGCACCACCTGTGGGAGTGTGCTCTTGCCAAAAATACCTAACCTAAACCGAGTCAAGCCTGTACACCTGACTTGCCATGTACAGGAAGTAAAGGGAACAGAGGAACAAGTTAAGGGCCACCACGAGGACACAATCGGACAGATGCAGGATGTGGGATGCCCTGCAGGAGACTGGCCTGTGCTCTTCAAGAAGAACATGACTTTAAAGAGAAAAAAAGGTTAGGGCTGATAAACCACACTGAGGAGGTTTAGACAACCGAAGAGGAAGCTTTCATTGGATGTGGGTCAAAATCCAACCTTGACTGGATCCGGGGTTGAAAAAGACAGTTGAGTGGCATCCTGGGGCACAGGGGGAGATATGACTATGAAGGGGACACCAGAGGACACGAGAGAACCTCTGCCACGTTTCGGGGTATCTGACAGCACGTGCTGTGGTCAGCGAGACGCCCTCATGCTTACAAGATGCTAGAGATTCACGTCTAAGACTTACTCTCACATGGTTGTGCAAAGAAACGATCTGTATAGAAAAGAAATATGGCTGCACGTTAACTACTATTGAGTCGAGGTGGGGGCAAGAATTTGTGCAGCACCTTCGTGAATATGCAGAGTTCTTTCAACTATTCTTTTTTTTTTTTTTTAAAGATTTTATTTATTTATTTGAGACAGAGA